CTTATAATTTGTGCATCGAGTGCATTTATCATCAGCAGTCTAACAAATGCTGCTTCAATAAATCAAACTATTCATGAATCTGTGACCATGAAAGTTTTTATTCAATGAGACCAGACTTATAGCACCTAACTGGTTATAAATCAGAAATAAAGCACACCCAGCCCCTCTGATTTCTGAGGACCAGTTAGAAGGGAAGGGGGGTTATTTTCTGCCAGTTTCATGCACTTACCACAACAGCCCTGATCTCCAAGAAAGGTAGGTCAAAAAGAGCCAACCATACAAATTGTCATGGTTGATGGTATAAACAACTTGGTCTTACTAATGTGCCCCCTTATACTCTTACTCTATAAGCTTATTTGAACATCTGAAAGAGCAGTTTGTATGACCACCATCAGATTACTCAACTTTAGCCTGAAATCTCCCTCAGAAGGGCAGGATAAGCCACTAAGTAGTACCCTGAGAAGATGGTAATGTGTGAATCCACCCCAAAAAACACATCACAGTGAAACCAGACCATTTACAAACTTTTAAAGAAGGGAATTCTTCTGCAAAGGCCTTTGCTCAAATGTTCTTGAACCTGTTAACGCTACCCAGAGTCACAGCACATAGAATAGCTTAGCATGACAGGAACCTCTGGACCTCACTTCACTCAATCCTCTGCCCAAAAAAGAACTCGTTTCAAAGTTAGATCAGGTTGTTCAGGGCCTTGTTCAGTCAAGTATTAAATATCTCCAAAGATGGGAGAGCCCATAGCCTCTCAAGGTAGTCTGCTCCACTGACTTCACCAACCACACTTACTGTGACTTATATTTTTTTTTTCCTTCTCTCCAGCTGGAATGTTCCTTTCTGAAACTCATAACCTCTTCTCTTTCTGGTGTGCACCTCTAAGCAAGGTCTGGCATTTCTAATATCAAGACAATCTGAGTTAGCAAGTAAATTGTACTGTGAAGGTATATTATACACTTGAGCCAAGCTGACAGCTCACCACTAACAGGGACAGACCAGCCCTGTACATGTCCCACAATCTAATTTCAGCGCCCCTGTTCTAGCTCTGCAACCTAAACAGCTGCACAGGTAGCCAATTCGTCTTGTTAACCTGACAGAAATCCATTCCCTTGTTTAGTTCCTATGTCATCTCAGCAGTACTAATATCTTCTGCACAGGGTCACAAGGGAGAAAGTGGAGCTGCAGGTAAGAACAGAGCACCCTTTTTGAAGGGAGGCAGGTGGAACATGCTATAGCCTATGACTTTCCATTTAAGTGTCACAGAATATCATAGGCTAAAAAATTTCCATCTGCTTTAATAAACTCTCAGCCAATAACTAGATAGTCTTCTTAGGCATGCTTCCTACTTCATCCTCTCACCTCTGGGATGACATTTTCCATTTTGTTCCTCAATAATACATCCTATGTCTTCTGTCATCCATGAAGACAGTTATTAAACAGTGCTTAACTAGTACTAATTATATTTGGCATTAATCACCACCTGAGTCAAACAGAACATACATTTGATTAGGGGATGTTATGCCAGTTGGAAAGGGAGGAGCAGTAAGTTCATTCAGATGCTGATGTATGATGTTTACCAAGCCAAAGTCACAGAGGCCAAAAGAGTATACCAGTCTGTTGCACTGAAAAACTTCACAGCAAAGCCCTAATGGGGATCTTATTTCAAGTAAACACCACTTAGCTTTACTGGAAAGGAATGAGGTACCCCAAAAAGCACATACTTTTTATATAGCAAATATTCTCACACACACCAAAGAAAACCGTCATAGTACCAGCCTTCGAAGTCACATTTGGCAGCTAATGACAACATAAGTTCCATCTTTTATAACAACTCTTCAATTATACCAAATTTTGATAATTTTCCAAACTAAGCCTTTTGAATGTAGGCTACCCAGAACCTGTTGAAAGTTGTTACTGATAACAAAGGAAAAGCATTTCCATAGAGCTGTAGAGAAGCTTGGTGAGAGAACAAACTGAATCTTTCCAGTTTTTAAACATGGCATGTCATGGTTTGTAAAGTCCATAAAGATCAGCAATTTATAAGATCAGGACTCATGTATCCTTTATCTGACACATAAAAAGTAATTTTCCAAAGGCAAACTCAACTAACCCAGATCAATGAAGAAAAAAAAAAAGAATTATGAAAATACTTATCAAGATTTAGAGAGCTCACAGTAATCCATACTTATCCTCGAGGAAAGTTAATTAAACTCATTCAGGTCTTTTTATTAGCACATCTGAATTTCTCTAGTCCATTATTCTCCTACAGGCTCAATATTTCAGTCTGAAATCAAGACAAGTATCACGTAAATCACCACTCCCTGCTCCATCCTTTGATACACTGCACCATTTTTGATGCATCCCTAGCCAACCATATTTCACAAGGATTGCTCCGGTATTTTACAGGATTGTCCTACCTGCAACAGACTGCCACAAGAAAACCTCGCTGAATCCCTCCACAGCTCTCTGCCCAGTTAAAACTTCTGCCATCTCTTGTCAGACCATTCACAGCTTAACCCTTTCCCATTGCTCCACATATGACTCCACTGCAAAGTGTTGACCTCTACTTATGCCCTCCACCACTAGCACCAGGTTCACCATCCTCCCTCCCCCAAGTCCTCAAATTTTTATAGAAATACCTTTCTAAGTGATCTTACCAGTTTGCTTGATCAGTTCACAGCCTCTCAACTATCACAAACAGATACTTCCTGCCCTCATTCCCAAGCAGACCTTTTGCCAAACAGTGCAGTCCTCTGGCTAAATGATATTCAGATCACCATTGTCCACGTGCAGTCCTGAAACACAATTACACCTTTGTTTTTTGCACATTTGCTAGCAAGAGAGAACAGGAGCAGTGCACATAACCTTCTCAGACTCTGAGGTCTTGCACCCACCTTTGTAAAGCATCTAGTGACCTGCACTCCTCTCCTCCAACACTCCAAAGACCCAACGATTTTTAAGGAACACAGAGCAATAACCCTATACAGTTCTCACAGTTCTTCCACAGCCAACCCTGCTTAAAGCCTGACTCTGGGTCCTTACCCTAACAGAGAGCTTTTGTAAATATCTTTTATGCAGCTTCCTCAGTAAAAGCTATCTAACTAATTCTTGTCAGTTTAGTGTTGCCTATAAAACTTCCAAGAACAGATGTGGAAAAGAAATAAGAAAAAGCTAAAGAGCACAGCAAGTCAGCTTTCATACAGTCAGAAGTTGATGGGAAGAAGCTGGACAGTCAACAAGGATCCTAACACCCATGTGCTTGCAGATCCAAGATATATTTTACCAGTAAGTTGAGCATCTATTCTTCAACAGAAGCATAAACATTACCATAAGAGGCCTGTATCTTTTCACTGTATTAATACATTTATTTAATTTAACTCCACAGTAAGTTGCTTTTCCGGCTATGCTAGGGAAACAATGCCCACACAAGTAACATTTAGTCTTCCAGCACAGATGCAAGACTTTGGAGATATCACTCCACGTGCTGTTGATTTGATACTGAAAATTACCTAACCACCAGCTTCATTTCACACACATGTTCTGTCTCATAATACTTATTTCCCCTATGCAGTCAAACATTCCTGACAATTACTGCAGCTGTGTTATTTTTGAAAAGGTGATACACAGACATTACAAGAACATCTAACAATCTATACAGTCATGTTTTGCAAAGCATGCACAAATCAAAAACAGCTCAAAGTTTAAAATGCATCACTGGTCGCATACTTTTAGAAGTATTTCTGTAAAAGGAATAGTGCTTGTTGCCAAGCTATCTATCTTTACTTTCCTGTTTGGAAACATAGTCAATGTTTTTCAGGCTTCGACTTCATAAGGAGTAACACACATGCATTTTGATGGGACACCCTGCAGTAAAGCTGATCACCTGTCGCTTTACAGTCAGGCTGTTTCAGCAAGACATTGAGCTGCCATTGTTCAGGCTCTGGCCATTGATTAATTATTGATACCAGGCAAACTGTACTATTATTTCTTTGGGTTTTTTTGAAACCCCTAACTATCAACAACTTACAAAGTTTATTTCTGTTGGAATTGCTTTTTGGTAAGATAAGTTCTGTGGGGAAGGCTTTCAGTTGGACATTTTTGGAAGATCTGGAAGGAAGACCTGTAAACTATACTAGCCAACATACAGTTTTTCATTCAACTAACAAGTCTTTTACAAGGATGCACAACCAGGATGTCTTAACACCAACGGTCACTGCCAGTACCCAGCTGCATCACATTTCTGATCTTTTGCCACATGGACTTAATTTTCCACGCCATTATGAAACTAAAACAACACATTCACAGTCAGCAAGAATAATAAATTGATAATAAACAGACCAGGGTGCGAAGAACCATTAATGGCTTTGCTTCAAGACCGCAGCACCGTGAACCTGTGGCTGCTCGGTGCTCTTCGGCTTAAAGGAAAACTCTGGAACGGGATCGCGCCACTCCCGAGGCCGCTTCCACGCTGCCCCCGGCGCCTCGCTGCCCGCGCTCGGCTGGGGACGGGCGCGATGTCCCGCCGCCCCGGGACGTGCCCGGGGCCCCGGCCCCGCCGCCGGGAGGGAGAATTGCTCACTGGCAACTTCGGCGAGGGTCTCCGCAGCGGGCAGTGGCGGTGCGGGGGCTCAAGGACGGGACGCCCCGCAGCCAGGGTGTGCAGCGCGGGGCGCAGGCAGAGCCTGCCCAGGGCGGCGGGAGCGGGCGGCACATGGAGCAGCGGCGCGGCGTGCGCGGCGGGGCCGGCCAGGCTGCGGGGCCACGGAGACCGGCCGGGGAGGGACAGGGAGGGACGGAGCGCGGCCGCCCGGGCAGCGAGACGGGGCGGTGTGGGCGCCACTCCCCGCCGGGCTGCGCGCCCCGAGCCCCGAGCCCCGCGCCCCAGGGGCGAGAGCGGCGCGAGCGGAGGCAGGGAGGGGAGAGAGGTCCGGCGCGGTCGCCCCTCTCGGGGCGAGGCGTCGCTCCGGGCGCGGCCGTGCCGCCGCCCGCCTCACCATGAGCACTTTGGCCGCGTTCTCCAGCTGGGCGATCACCTCGGGGGCACCCCCCGCCGCCGCGGCCGCCGCCGCCATCATGGTCTCTCTTCAATGACGCGCCATGCGCTGCATTCTGGGGCGAGGCGGCCGCGCGGCCAATCCCGGCCCGGCCCAGCCCCGCCGCGGAAGCGAAGCGGCGGCGCCGCTGCAGCACCGCGACCGCCGGGCGGGGACAGAGCCCGCTCTGCGCCAGCCTCCCTCCCGCCTTCCTTTCCCCTCCCCTCCCGTCCCACCCCGACCGCCTGCCTGCGGGGCGGGCCCGGCCCGGCGCACGCGGCGGGACCTGCGGAGCCGCGGGGCGGGGCAGCCGCCGCCCCCCGTCTTGTCGAGGTCGCCGCACCTGCCCGGCCCGCAGGTTGTTACGGCTGGAAGAGACCTCTGGAGATCATCCAGTCCAACTCCCCTGCCAAGGCAGGTTCACCTAGAGCAGGTGACACAGGAACGGATCCAAGTGGGTTTTGAATGTCTCCACAGAAGGAGACTCCACGCCCTCCCTGGGCAGCCTGTTTTCCAGTGCTCTGCCACCCTCCGTGCAAAGAAGTTCTTCCTCATGTTGAGGTGGAACTTCACGTGTTTTAGTTTATGGCCATTGCTCCTCGTCCTGTCGCTGGGCACCGCCACACCACGAAAAAGAGTCTGACTCCATCCTCTTGGCACACGCCCTTGAGATATTTACCTGCATTTCCTTGTGCTTCCCGGTGAGCTCAGGCGTCAGTGAGGCTGCAGGCGCTGGGTAGTGGCATTCCCTTGTGCCTAGCAGTGTTTGCAGACTTGTAGTGGGATGAGAATCTTAGTATAAAATATGGCTTAGAAAGTCGTGGTCAGCATCTTTGCAAATGACTGGTTTATGACAGACAAGAAAACCCCAAGCCAATGTTTAAAACTGATCTAAAATGCACTTTTTCCCATGTATATCCACCCGGAGCTCCTTTCATGTTATTGGATGTGGAGTAGTTGACAGCGTCAACTCTGAAAGATATGCTGAAGAGAACGTTGTTGTACACTTGTAGGAGCAAAAGAACTCTCAGATTGTGCCTTCACTGGCATTTCATTTTGGCTAAGAAGTTTCCCTTTTAAACAAATCTGATGGTTTCCACTTCAGTTTGCACACTGGAGCAGAGTTGGAGGTTTGATACTTTCAGATGAAGCCAAAATGAAAGATCTGCAGCTACCAAGGAGTATTCAGTGCATAGGACAAGGCCAGATCTCCTTCAGAGCACGTCCCTTGCAGTGTGGACCACTGAGCTGCATCAGATGTTTTATTCCCCAGCTCCCACTGGACCACTCTGCTCTAAACAGAGCCAGGTGTTTCCAGCCATAGCTCCCCCAGCCTTGAGGAGACGTTAGCTGACCTTTAGTGCTGAATTTACGCAAAGTTGGGAATTTATTAGCTAACAGAGCAGGCTGATAGGAGTGTTGAATGCTTTCAGACTGTTCGCATAATCCGAGAGTACATGTGCAATGTTTCCGTGCAGGTGATACGATGTAATAGCCAAAGGCAGAGGAAAGAATCAAGGAAATGAATGACAGCAACAAATCCACCTTTCCTGTTCAGGTTGTGGGCCTCAAGAGGTCTCTACACCAACCTTCTACTTCTTGTATCTTCTGACCAAGCTGCTTAGGGCTTTGTCCAGCAGGGTCTTGAAAACGTCCATGAATGGAGAGAGCACAACTTACCTGGACAACCTGTGCCAACTTGATTGGTGATGTTTTTCCTCCTTAAATCAGAACCTCCCTATACGACTGTTGCCTCTCATCCTGCTGCTGTGCACGTCAGTAGAGAGTTTTGCTCTTGGATTTCCCTTCAAGCCTTCTGACTGGATGCAGTTCCCTCAGCCTCTCCTTACAGGGCATGTGCTTCCTCTCCTTACAGGGCATGTGCTTCCACTCCCACACCAACTTCACTGCCCTCAACTGCACTCACTGCAATTTGTCAACTTCTTTTTCATACTGGGGGGCCCCAGAGTGTGATGTGGTTTTCCAGGTGTGATCTAACAAGTTCTGAGTAAAGAGAACTAATAATTCTTTTGATCTACTGGCTTCATGCCTGTAAAAACAACCTAGAATGTCTTTATAAGGCCCATGGCTGGGCCTTAACTGCCCTGACGCCCTCACTTGGGACTTTAGCATCTGGAGTAGTATAGGTTTGCCTGTGCCAAGTCCTGTCTCCTATTGCCTTGGCTTATCCGTTGGCCTTCCTTGATGGACCTGTGTAATAAATAGCCTTGCCTCCAACCCTTTCTCCTGCATGGACCTTTTCTCTGTCTTCTGCTGTTCCTGGCTGGACTTTCTGTCTGGACTCTGGACATGACTCATCTCACCTTGCCTTGGACTCTCAAGACCTATGACTACCCCAGCCAGATCCAATGGAACTGCACCCAGGTTGGTGAGGCCATTGCCTTGCCTATCCTGTGGTCACCTTCGGTTCCCAGCTTATCCACCCTCATGGAGTGGCCCTGCTCATGTTGTCCTTGACACAGTCCACCAACAGCTCCAGATTCCTTTTTCAGTGAGTGTTCAGTCTATACTGCTGCAGTGGTTATTCCATTTTAGGTAAGGTATGACCCACAGGATCCATCCATCAGTTCCCTGAATAGGCGTAGTGTTTTGATCAATCTGTATCTTTCCTCCCCTGAAGTTGTCTGTTTGAGCACACTTCAGCATGTTCATTAAATCCACTTCTCTTTTACAAGTGATATGACATGTGCAAATGAAATCGTGCATTTTGCCATATCATCATGAGGTGTATCTTGCCCTCATTTTCAATGAAAGGATTGAGTGGAGTAATCTTCAGTAAAAATGAACATGTTCAAGTAGTCATATTTTCTGTCAGCTGTATTACAATCCTAATGTTCTCTTGGCTAGTCTTAGAAAAGCTGATTGTTCATTTGTCTTGTCAGAGTGAATGCTGAAGCTATTTCTGCTGTTGGCTAAAAAAGATGCATCACGTTCTTTCTTCATGCTTCCCTCTTTTGTGGTGTTAATACTCTTAAAATAGTTCAAAGCTTTTGGACTTGTTGCCAAAAGAATATTGTTGGCAGTGGAGCTTGTGCTTCCTACTCTAGCAGTCCTCCTCTAGCTTGCTTTCTCCCACATCTGAAAACAGCCAACTACTGCTAAAGAATAAAATGTTAAGGAAAATGAACCCACAGTTGGTAGTAAAACAGTTGTGACTTAGGTTTTTTTGGTTTTGTTTTAAATATGTAATCAGTCCTATGCATGCATACAATAAAACTAGGAAGGATCTGTTGTAGTCAGGAGCATCTAACAAAGTCTAGAGTAAGGAAATAGAAGTGACTGAGCTAGATGAAGTGAGGAAATCAAAGTCAGTAGGGAAGTGGATCACTCGTATGAAAGTGCAATGACAATTGCAAGCATGCAAGTGGCAAGCTTGGGAGGAATTAATCTTTCATCACTGGAGCTTTAGAAACCATCCTCTCATCAGGACATGCATCTTGATTTATTTTCTATGCTTGATTTCATGGTGTTCCTAAGATTGTTTTCCAGTTGTTTTTAAGAGATGTCTTCCCACATAGCCTGAACTTATATTTTCAGGAGACCTCGTTTCTCTGGCCAGGATGTCCAGTTTTCTTCCTTTCCTGGGCACCTTTTTTCCTAACACCTACCTTTGCTGGCTGGATTTCTGCAGCAATTCCTGTAGGAAATTCTGTAAAGAAATTGCAAATAAATTCTGCAATAAATTCCTGCAATACTTCCTGATTTATTGCTGGCTTTTCATCAGCGCTTAGCAGAAGTCTGTTCAGAGTAGTGGTTCCAGTACTAGCTGTTCCAGTTGTTATAGTCTGTGATGCTCATTTCCAGTGACACAGGAGATCTCCCACCAGACACTTCAAAAAATTCTGATTAATTCCTTCAGACAACTTGGCTAGATTTCCATACAAATGGCCTCAGTCAAGTTACCTGGGCATAGTAAGTCACTGTGCCCCTCTTGAGGAAAAGCTTCTGCCAAAATTATTGTAAGCAAATTTGGTAGCACTGGCCTGTGCTGTTGGTCAGTACTTCCTGTTATGAACCCAGGTCTCCATTGCCTTTCAAGTTTGGTTAAAAATTTAAAATTTTGGGAATATAGGTTTCTCTGCAAGGTAACTATTACAAACAAAGAATGTGTATGCTTGTGCTGAAATGGTATTTGCTTCTGAGAACATAACTAGGGAGAAATCAAGTTGAAAGACTGAGGCTTTTGCAGAAAGCAACTTTTTTTTTTTTTGAATGGGTTTAAAATTTGAGAAAGAGCAAAATTTTGATTGGAAAGCATCTCTTTCCGTACCTGATAGTCAGTTTGTGTTTGGGCACATTTAAAATAATAAGCTGAGAAGACTTATACGTATTTGATTTGATAAAGCAAATTCAGCCTGCAGATTTCTCTTCTGAATAACAATTCGTCAATGACAGTTCATGTGGAATCCTGGAACAATCCTTTCCCTCAAGGCTCTCACACATAACTGCACTGTACAAGCCTCATCCTCCAGAGCATGCCCCAGCTCCTCACAGCTTTTGCTTCTGGCTGCAGTCTCTGCAGTCCCCACTCATTTTTCTCTTACACCTGCTATCCTTCAGAATCACTGAATCATTTAGGTTGGAAAAGGCCTCCAAGTCCATCGAGTTCAACCTCTGACCGATCACCACCTTGACAACTAGACCATAGCAGAGTCCATGCAGAGAATGGTTGTCTTCTGTTATTTCCCAAAGTCTTTTTCATGCATAAATTAAGATCCAACTCTAAATCAAAGGTCTGTGAGAGAAAGAGCTTGTCCACGGTAGGAACATCACCTTTGCTGTTGAGGAAGTGCAGGACAAATGAAAATGATTAAGCAGATTCTAGGAATTCTGGGAGAGTACCTGTCTTTCCTTGCCCATTCCTGCATTGCTCTGGTGAGGGGTTTAAACCAGGGATCATATTTTTGCTGTGTCTATTTTTATGGGTCTTGAATTGATTTCTGGGGTCTATTTGCAGCAGAACTGCAGTACTAAAACTGCAAGTAAAGACACTGAGAGCGTCATGGAAGTACTTATTTGGCATCTGAAGAAGGGTTCTTTTGGATTGTTCACACTCTGAAGTAAACATTTGCTCTTCAGTTTATTTCTTACAAAGCAACAGTACACAATGTTGCAAAGCTGGATTAGTCATTCGGTAATTAATTTCAAGTT